CCAACTCACACATAAGGCAAGCGCCTATTAGTTAGTTATAAAAAAAAAGGTAAATATAGCGGAGATCGAAAGAGCTCGGCAGGCAATGAAATATTAAGTGGCTACAAATGAAAAGAGAAGACAGCGCCACACAGTGCATAATTGCCGAACGTACACACGAATATGTATGTATGTATGCACATACTCATGTCCATATGTATCAAAAACAACAACTGCCCCAACAACCAGTTAATGAACAACAGAGAATGATCAACGCTACTTTGGTTTTCTGACAAGTCAAAAGCTACAAAATAAATAAACAGGAACCTCCAAACTAAGACGTCGTAAGTGACAAGCAATTTTAATGGAGATATGACATTTGAGTACTACGAGTAAATTGTGATCTGTGGACCGGCAAATAAAAGTTTGCATGCAATTCGTAAAGGAACCAAATCGCAGAGTTGATTTTGAGAAGAAAGCGAGTAATACAAATTCATGAAGTTTGCAAAAGTCACAGTAATTTTTGGGATTCGCGATATTCCAGAGAAATTTCAACATCATAACACAACGCGACGTAGAGTCTGTCTCTCAAACGAGTTAGCGAAAAATATCGTATCGCTATCGTAACCTTACGCATAACTTTAATTAGGGTTGGGATAGGTTTTTTCGGGTAGCTCTAGTCCAAGAGCTCGCTCGGAACCCATAGGCCTATTGTAATGGTCAAAGAAGGATTTATAACAGACATTTCCTTAAACTATTCTGACTTTCTGGCGAATCCTAGTAAGTCGGCAAATATTGAATTTTCCAAGTGGCCTTGGTACTCAGGTGGTTCTCCAAACAATCGGCGTGCTTTCTCTGGAGTGCTGGGTACCCTCATGGGAAGTACTGACGAATTCTATATCTTTCTCATCTCTGCGGCTTCTACAAGAATCGTTTTGCGGGAGTTGAAATAAACTTATCCTGGTCATAGGATAACCGGATTTTAATTTCATCAAAATTAGAACAGGAGGAGCATTCTGAGATACGATTATTTTATTCTAGCCGCAGATAGTCCGGTCTGTTGAGTTATCGCGATACCAAAAATAAGATGCAGTCAATTTAAAAAGTCTAGTCAGTCTTTTAGCGAAGAGGGAAAGTCAATGGCCAACTCGATTTCATCCCATTTTCATAAGGGATAATATAAAGTTCACTGCTACATGTGAGATTACTCTACAGTTAGTGTAGAAATATGTCTTTTAAAGGAATCCGTCATTGAGTTAAATAATAAATTTAATGTGACATGACAAGGAATACTCAGTCCTAGAAAATGTTTTGTTTTCCCATCAAAAGTTTTCAAACCTGACCGCCTAAGACACATTCGGCTTCCCTAATAAATGCTAACACCACCGTGGTACATGAATTCTTTGTAATAAGGGTCTCGACAATGATTAAATTTAAGTGTTTCGCCAAATGTCTTACAATCACGCAGAATCTCAACCAACGGCTCTTCGTCTACAATGTTTCCCGTATTCGTGGTCGTTATTGTTGTGGCAGTCGAGTAGGTTTAAGTGAGTAGATGTAGAGGTGGCTGCTGTCGTGAAGGGTAATCTCCACAAGCTGGACATGTGTTTGGTATGTCGGGTTTACTCTAGATG